TTAAAGATTTGGGTCGCCTGAGTTATTTTTTGGGGCTTGAAGTCACTCATACTTCTGCTGGTCTTTTTCTTGCGCAATCTAAATATGCTAGAGACATTTTAGAGCGTGCCCAGATGTTTGATGTAAAACCTGTTGCTATTCCATGGACTCCAGGATTCCAGCTTCATAGTTCTCAGGGCGCTTTACTTTCTGACCCTACATTATATCGTTCTATTGTTGGTGCCTTACAATATCTGACTATCACTCGTCCTGACTTATCTTTTGCCGTTAATTCTGTCAGTCAATATATGCACTCACCCACCGTTGATCACTACCAAGCAGTCAAACGCATATTGCGTTATGTTAGAGGAACGATCTCTTATGGCCTGGGTTTCACTCGTTCCACTATGTCTTCCGTTGTCTTAGGATATTCTGATGCTGATTGGGCACGTTGTTTGGATACACGCAGGTCCACTTACGGCTATGCTGTGTTTTATGGCGGTAATTTGCTCTCATAGAGTGCCAAGAAACAACCCACCGTTGCCCGCTCCAGTTGTGAATCTGAGTATCGTGCTTTAGCTAATACTGCTTCTGAGGTTGTTTGGCTTACTTACTTACTTCGGGATTTGTGTGTCTCCTTAACTGATCCACCGTTGCTGCTTTGTGACAACAAAAGTGCTCTTTTTCTCTCCCAGAATCCTATTGCTCACAAACGTGCCAAACACATTGACATTGACTGTCACTTCATTCGTGAGTTAGTTGCTTCCGGCAAGATTAAAGTTCAATTTGTGCCATCTCATCTCCAGTTAGCTGACATCTTCACGAAAGGACTTCCTCGGCCGCATTTTGAATTTATTCGCACCAAGCTTCGTGTTGCATGTCATCCCACGCTTAGCTTGCGCGGGGGGGGGGGGGGGGGGGTGTTAGGAAAGTAAAATAATTTCCCTATGGGTATATAGAAATAGTCATTTACTACACAATCTGTATTTATGGAAACATCCATTATTGTTTATTCTTGCTTTCTTTATAATTGTAAATTATACTATAAATATTAATGAAAGGCTTCAGACCCCTCAAGGGGTGATATTCTCACAGGCCCCAAATTGGGCAGGACCGGCCCTATTACCTATGCACTAAAAACGTAACCTTCATTTTTAGTCAAAGGTATATTGGATGAAGGACAGAAGGTTGGACATAATGTTTGTAGTTTGCATTCTGGGAAACGAAGGTTTTAAATTGCGTTAAATAAAAGCTTTTCAATTCCGTGAACTTATCTATAAATAAAATAAATAGAATATAAAAAAAATCAAAGAAGGTGAGAATGTTGAGAAATCTTGGGGAGAAGGGAAGATCCGAAGAATGGGAAGACAAAAATTAGTTCAGAAGAAAAAAAGTGATAGCATAGAGGATGCTATGGGATATCAGATAGGCGACCGTGGGTGTATTGTACACAATGTTTTTAAAGGCGTAAGACGTGTTCAAGTGGCACGATCAAACCCCGAGTCTTTGAATTTTGAATTTTGATCATAATTTTAATTTTCCTGCCGCCATTAATTAGAATGTAAATCTAGTATTACATAATATTATGAAAGAATACTACTACTTCCGCCCGCTAACTTTGGAACAAGAGGAGGTGACACTGTTTTTAAGAAAAATGATTTTATATAATTTATATTGAATAGATTAAGTGAGAATAAAGTAAGAAAATTAGGATGCACAATCTTATTGGGATAGACGGAAAAAGAAAGAAGAGACCATCGGCACAGAGGGGGTATTACTCTTTGAATTTCCAATAAAGTACATTCGTAATGTTCTGAGGATATCATTTCAAATTGTATGTTTTAAATTGGATAGAAATTTCTGGTTTTATTTGGTTTGGTATGTCATGCATATGTTCGTTTTACGTGTATTTTAATTATTACCGACGAAGTCTGTTCTAATCGGATCTGATTGGGTTGCATTTGGTCTATTTAAGGCTGGTATTTGTAATTGGTCTAATTTGATCCGAGACGGAAACCTATCCAATTTAAATATTTTTATTTTTCAAAACCTAGATTTGGAATCAATATAAGCCCCCCTCTTCCCAAAAAAACTAGATTTGGAGAGTAGTCGGGTGATAAAAACTAAATTTACTTTTTTAATTAATAATCGTGTCAACCCTTCACGTCCCAATGATCGTGTAATAGAGCTAGTATATTAATACTAAAATAATAATAATACAAAGTCAAAATAATATTAATAATAAGAGCCCGTTTGGTAACATTTTTTCAGCTTATCAATCAACTTTTTAACCAAACACGTATTTTTTGTTTCGCCTGTGGAATTGTGTAATTTTTTAAGAAAAAATAAGGTTGAAGTTACTTTTCTGGCTGTATTGGTTGAAGTTACCGTAGAAGATCATTTTAGCTATTTTTCATATATTTATTTATTTATTTATTTTATTTATTTATTTATTTATTTATTTATTTATTTATTTATTTATTTATTTATTTATTTATTTATTTATTTATTTATTTATTTATTTATTTATTTATTTATTTATTTATTTATTTATTTATTTATTTATTTATTTATTTATTTATTTATTTATTTATTTATTTATTTATTTATTTATTTATTTATTTATTTATTTAATAAAGTCTATTTTAAAAATATTTATGTCATAAATCAGCAGAATCAGCTAATCCAGGCACTTCAACCAAAACTTCATAACTCTCAATGAATTTTTGTGCAAAATAGTGCTCCTATTTAGTACTCCGTATCATATTTTTTTGTTGGTTAAATTGATATACTAGTAACATTCAATGTGATAATGTCCAATGTTTTTTTTGCAAGTGGCTAGTATATGCCAGTGGCTAACAATCCTATCAGAAATCTTTGATGTTAGCTTGTACTGCGTAAATCGTAAGGCCTCTCCTCTTTACTACGGAGTAGTCTTTAGTCAGAACTTTCCCACACCAGAGGAATTCAAGAATTCATCCTCCCACTTTGGCTATATACGGCTACGCTTAGATGCCGTTTACAAATGGAAAAGTGTCAACTTGTGCCGCACTTAGAGCAAAAGTGAGTTGATATAATATATTGTAAGGGATGAGCGAAGGTGATACCATTATTAAGAAAAGTGAGTTTATGTAGTTGATATTAAATTGATAAAGTAAGAATAAAGTAAGAATGATTTAGAGTCACACAATCTTTATCAAATTTGATACTCCCTCCGTCCCATTTTGGTTGTCCTACTTTCCTTTTTGGGTTGTTCCAAAATGAATGTCTTGTTTTCTTTTTTGGATGAAATATGTGGTTCTTATCAATTCACTTTATTATACTCAAATCTCAACCACAACTTTTACTTTTCAACCACTTTATTAATAATCGTGCCAAATTAAAAGTGGACAACCATTATGGGACGGAGTAGTATGAGACAATTTTAGTGGGACTTTACTAAAAGATAAAATGAGATAATCTTAGCGGGACAGAGTATTACAAGCATTCGGTTCGGTGACAGCCTTAGGATTAATTTCAGTTGGATATTTTTCCATCAGATACTTCAAACTTCATTCCTTTGGATTACCCACATATCTATAAAAATGTAAACAAGAAATAATTAAGAAGCAATTCATCATCAATACCAAAATGTTCAAAGTTTTGAAGCATAACCGTCCAGATGAAAAGACCTAAAAGCATCAAGACTTATAGTCATCTCATGTAACCTTCCATAAACTCTTTATGTCAAGAAAGCAATGGAGAAACAAGACTAGGTGATAACCCACCCAACTAGGCCATTAAAAAACATAGAGCCCACCAAATTCAAGTCAAGTCTTAAGTCTTGACTTGAATAAAATTTACCCAGCGTGACATCAATAAAATTTATTAGTCACTTTTCTCTAAGTAATACCAATATCCTTACCATTAATCAAGGACAATGCACTTATCTCCATCATCACGATTAGGGGTGTATGTTGGGTTATCCTTCCCTTCGAGCAGAGTAGTAATCTGAGATGCCAAATTTTGTCACGGATCTTGACCATTAATTTATAGTCCGTGACAAAGTAAATTTCAAATTTTGAATTTTCCATTATGTCATGGATTTATCCATGTCAAACTTTGTCATTTACTAATTTCCGTGAAAAATGTGAAGCGGGAAGCTTTCTTCGATGATCTTTTTGTCAGTGATTAATCCGTGACAAATGTCTGTCACGGATTTCATGTAGTGATAATTGTTTGTCACGATTGTGACGTCACAGAAAAAATCATGACAAAATCCGTGACAAAATCCGTCACAGAAATTTTTGCCACACATTTTTATACTACGATTGTGACAAAGTCTGTGACAAACTCGTTGTTTATCTTTTAGTGGACATGAGATCGAAAGAGAAACAATAGTCTATGTATGATAATACACATCAATGATTAATCTATGTATGATGACGACAAAAGGAAATAAAGAAGGCACCACATAATTGTACTACCAAATCATAGACCAACATCGTATGTTATAGACATGGTCACGAAGGAAGTGAAGCAAAGCAACACATGAAAAAGCGCATGAATGCAAAGGTATAAGTCAGTTTTACAAGTTAGTTACTAAAGAAAATATGAAGAGAAACATTTTTCTTTTTAAAAATACTCGGAGCTTCATTACAGGCGATGAAGGAGAATGGGGGTTGATGTTTCTCAACTCTCACAAAATTAAATCTATACCACACACTCATTGTGGGCGTCAATGAGGCTGATAAAAAGTATTAATATGAAATACGTATTAAAAATCATTCCACTTTGCTTAAATGTGAGGGCAACTCATACCTCTACAAGAAAAAGCATTATTTGCGTCGACAAACAGTCGACGCAAAAGGTCAAAAGTCGACGCGAATAAGTCTTTTGCGACGCTAATGTGTCAACGCTAATGCTTCGACGCAAAAAGTTAAAAGTTTATTTGCGTCGACTTTTGTCGACCCAAATAAGTTTATTCAAATGATCATGTTTTTTTTATCATCAAATTCAACAAATATATTAAATCAAAATAACGTTCGTCACATGGCTGATAATACAATCAAAGAAAAAGAAGTAAACAAAGCAATTAAAATTCTTATGTGTGTCGTTCGCCCTCGAACCAGACTTAGAATATATCATCACCTCTGTAGAAGCAATAATATTTACTGATCACCTGGCAAACCATACTTCTCATCACCTGGCTTAAAATCTAGAATCTCTCTGCTAGGAAATAAGAGCACGTCCAAAACAACATGCAATTCGAAAGAAAAACACAAACATAATAAAATGGAATTAAAACAGAGTTCACCCATCTTTTTCCAAACCCTAGACTTGCTTGCACTCCATGGCGGCGGCTCAGGAGGGGGGCGTGCCCGCCCCTCATCCACCTCAATAGTCATGCCTTTGTATTGAATGACGATATCCTCCTTTGACGCCCCTTGCCGCTGAATCGAAACCATACTCTGCCACAGCTTATCCACCTTTTCTTTGTCAACACTCGACCTTCGACCAGAAACAACAGTACAAGTCGAGCCCTGGCCGCCAAAACGCTGCATCCCTAGTCCCGAGCCTGCTTGCAAGATCAAAATTGACTGATGGCCGCTCTTGGTCGATGACAAAAGTGGTAGAAACGAAACCCTAACTCGTAGGGAAATGACAGCTAGAGAGAAAACTCTCCAATTCTAACAATTGGCCGGAAAAAGCCAGCCTTGCTCCTCGGCAACGGCCGATAGCAGACGAATCCAAACTAGTGATTACCTTGCGGCAACCCTAGAGAGAGAGGGGACGAACTTACCTTATTCAAATGACCATGTTAATCTGTCACTTTAATTTTCAAGAAAAATTAGGTATAAATTCCACTTCAATTCAATATTCTTAAATCCTCATCAAGCACTTCTAATATATGTAGGCACAATCTCGGGCTTTCAAAAAAACATATGTGTGTGTGTGTAGCCACATAGAGACTACACCAATGGTAAAAAGTATGAGCTTTATGCTATGAAAGGTCATAAAGGTTCTCACCCGGCCTTTGGCATAAACAACTCTCCAACGTAGACCTTCCAAATCTATATGCCTTAAGCAACGAAGGATTTCTAAAATGAACAAGAAACATGTACTTATTTACAAAAGCAGACAAGTATATGCTTACCATTATCCTAATCTGAAGGGAAATGCAGACCGTTGATGACCAGTTGTAACTTTAACGTTCCAAAATACATTTCATCATCTCAAGCAAATTCTCATTGCTGGTAGAAGAATCATTGTTACATAATCACCATGAAAAACAAAACAAAACGAACAACTTAAGTATACATTCAACAGTTATCCGCATCAATTACAATAGTGTATCAGCAGTAGTGAAATGAATCTTAAATTCGCAAGGGTAAAAAAACTAAACAATATCAGAACACTATGATTAATATCACAACAAAAAAGGAGTAATGTTGAATGTATTATTTTGTTGATGACTAACCCTACAAGTAGAACAATGGGAGAACTATCTATAGGTCCAAATGGTCATTATTGTTATAATAATATCTAACCTTGCCGGTGGTACGTTGAATGGAACTAATCACAGTTCCATATGGATAGATGGTCTAATTAACATGCTTGCATGCTTTCAAGTTTACAGGTGCATGATTCACTTACCCACTTACTAATATATCTTCTATATATGGTCACCCTTTTTTAATATGTCATTTAATTTAATTATGACCATTATTTCAAGCAAGAATCTTTTCATTAATGTGTGGCTTAATCTATAAGGATTATCGGCTCATGGCATATATGTTAGAGAAGTGATTGCATTCCTTATATTATTTAAAATACATAAGTTTGAATATGTGAATGCATAAATTGCTCTTAATTCCCTTTCATGCGTATGCATCCATTAATACAGATACACCTATTTTTGGTGTGATCGACAATGTATATCTTGAACAAGGATCACCACATCAAATATAGAGAGATGAGCTTGTGTCATAAAAGGAAGGCCTTTCAAATAATAATAATAATAAGGCAAGTATCATATTTAAAAACTTGACCATCCAAGCAAGAAAAGTCTCAATGATGTTGTAGGGGGGCGCCTTTATATTGAGATCAAGAGGAAGAAGAAGTGGGTGTTTAACTAAGATAAGAAATAAGTGAGACGGATTCAGTGAAGAATTGCATAACCTCAAGGCGCCTGAAACAGCTCATACTAAGTTCTAGACAGAGTTATCCTTTCCCTTCTTGTCTTTGTAAGGGGGTTTTGAGGATTGACTAATTATAGCATCCCCTGATTGGTAAGTGTGTAGTGAGAGCTTTGTGGTAAAGTTTAGAGGCTCTCTACTCGCAAGGTAGAGAAACATAACTAAAAGGTCAACCTGGTAGGGGTAACTTAAAGTTTTATATAGTGTTTAAGTGTTTTATATCTTACCGGTGTAGGACAAATACTTTAACACAATTTCATTCAATTGAGTTATGTTTAACTTTGTTTAGTTCATTTGAGTTGACTCAACTTCATATTGGATAAGCATGTTAAATGATTTTCGATAACAATACATGTTGTTGTCATGATGTAGATATGATCAATACACCACACATAATGATAGCCGTTATATTTACTTGTGTTTAACATAAGTATTTATAAGTAATTGTTGAATAGAAGAAGAGAAATTGGGAAACTATCTTTAGAATGAGAGTTAAAGCATAAAGCATTGTGATGAACATGTTTTTGGACCAAGAGGATGACGTCCTGCCCATAATTCGACTATAATTTATTGTAGAGAACTCGAAATCACTCGATTCGAATTTCATGTGAATGTTAACTTAATAAGGTACAAATGTTATGAAGACGTCTTGGCCATAATATGAAAGGAACAATACCCAGTCAACCAATAAAGTCAGATGTTGTTGTTGGGATTTCAGAATGCATACATCTCAGTGTTATATCCATATGTTTTGATTGGATAAATAAAATCACGTCATTCAAGTATTTTTGGATAGAAGACTTCATTATCTACAACTTTGGTGAAGGAATCATGTCCAAATCCGTAGCGGAACATCCCCAAAATCTCAGGACAAAACCGGCGCCGGAATTTGCACTGAACCGACGCCGGTCTTATGATTTTCGCACATAGGCGCTATCCAGTAGCTCACCCAGCGCCGGTTAGGTCTGATGGCCAGCGCCGGGTACCCCATTTTCCCAGATTTTGCTGCGCACAACAAAGAACCGGCGCCGGGAAGGCCTGAAACCGGCGCCGGGTTGGTCCGATTTTGCAAAATACAAAGAGATGTGCAACATATTCTTGATGGGAAAAACTCACTTTCCTTATAATCTGAGCAAATACTTCATCCATGCTTAATTGTTGTGCTCGAATAGACTAAAAGATGTTAATCTTTAGCCTATATAAAGCCCGCAATTCATCAAACATCAGGATTCCATTCCATAGTTTAATCCATAGCTTTTATATTTTGTTGTTACTATTGTTCTTCAAGTTCTTGAGGAGGTAAGTTCATCATCTGAAATCATTGATGTTTAGGTATTATTTCCTTTGTAATTTCATGTTCCATTACATTTATTATTGTATTGCGATTAGTATGAGCACTGGAGGCTAAATTTTTAGCTAAGGCTAAATTTTTAGCTAAGGCTAGGGATGAACTTATATGCCCATTGTTTTTTTTATAAAAGTTGTAAACCAATAAATTGTAATTTATCATTTACATATTGATTGTTTATGACTATGGTGTACAACATACAAGTATGTTAAATTTAGTTTATGCTTGCAATTAACGTTGAAGTCTAAACTATGAACACTAAAGGATGAACATATATATTACCGAGAATAGAAATATATACGGTATTATATGATACAGGTGTGATGTCTTGATATTCAACGGTGTTTTCGGTAGATGAATGTAAGCCGTAACGGGACTTACACGTAATGAAAACCACGCTCTCGCTGCCTTAACCGAAGTTGAGAATATATTAGCGACATCGTATTCATAATTTTTGGTAAAGAACTAATATTCAACCCTATTAAAGAATTTAAGTGATTCCTGAAGCCTTAGTTGTTATCATTCATCTTAAATTCTATTTAGTTAAAGATTGTCTTCTTGAACAAAAAAGTGAAAAGCCAAAAATATAAAACACAACTCCAAATCCGTTCACTTTACTTCTTTCTTTATTTAAAGTTATCTACTCTCGGACTTGAATTAAACAACATTTCCATGTGGATTCGACCCGGTATTTTAGCGGAATTTATTTCTATATCGGCACTTATACACTTGCAAGTTTAGCTCGATCACATAAATGTTTGTGTTTAGTGATTTTTTATGTTTGATTAGTGGTTTTATCTAATCTTGTATTAGTTAATGTTAAATGAATTTCGTTAAAATCGATATATCTAGTTGTATGTTTTTCACTAGATTCGGTTCGTGCATTTATCATAAAGTCGTGTTTTTTGCCGAAATAAAGTCACGTTATTTGCATTTATTTTCACTGAAGAATGGCTCATAGAAATATCCATTCTAAGCAAATATGAGACATACTTAGTAAGAATTTTCAAACTCACATAGTTTACACTCATTATCAACCCATCACATTTTTCCAAACAACTTTAGAATTTTTTTATAGTGGGTGGGGAGGGGATAGTAAGGTATCTTCAGAGGGAATGCACAAATTACAATCTCGTTCCATCTAAAAAATATGTTGATTTCGTTGGTATTAGAGCCTTGTCGGTCCGGTTGATTTTAATGAAATATTTTGAGGAAGTAGTTGGGGCTGTTGTGAAGCCCGTTTTGAAGGTAGAGAAGAAAACGAAGGGGAATGATGATGTGGTAGAAACAAAGGCCGAAATGAGAAAGAGGAAAAAGATGGAGAGAAGAATGTGGCAGAAGTGTAAGAAGAGGGAGGAGAGATACACGGAATACACATCAAAAGAGGTTTTAATAGATTTCAATCAAACCTCGGAATCCTCCCCTACTAAGTGCCCATCCGATATTCAACATATTAGCGCACTGTCGTATGGTTGCTCTGATACTACCTGTAACACCTCGAACCTGCGGGACCCGAGATAGTTACTTCTAGATACTCTCCACACTTCTAGTACCATTCTCACAAACCAACACAAACACTTACCGCACACTTTTTGTTTTGTTTTGTTTTTTGTCTGGAAATAGGATTCGTAGTTTTAAAAAAGATAGGATACATAGTTTAAAATTTAATGAACACTTAAATGCATTTTGAGGGGCTGAGTATCATATTATTAACGCCTCATGTAAACCACTTAACAAGACACCTTGGTCATATGGATTAGAAAATTTTAGATTATTCACGTTAAGCACGACCACATATGCCATGAATACCTATAAAGGTGAGCACTCACATATTGCATAGAGGGCAAACATGCCTCTGTTCTAGCCACCTAGTGATGCAATGCACTTGATATCCATGCCAGCATGGAAGAAAGTATGGCTCTTGGTCGGGGCCAATAATCTCGTGACATATAACACATAACATAGCCGGGAGGATCGCTCCGGTAAGTGTATTAGATACACTTACCGCGCAGTAGATGACATATACGTATTAGAAGGAGTTCCTGTTGAGGAATGGTTGGAAGACCCCCATGTAGGTAAAATACACACTGTATCAACCTCATGGATCTCGCTCTTTGGATCAATATAATGTTCTAGTTTTCGAACCTCCCACTTTACCCCTAAGTCTCCGTAGGCAACTTTATAATTATATGCCTCATAGAACTATCAATTTTAGACAAATGGCGGACATTCCGGGTAGGAATTTCCTAAGCCATATTGTTTACACTCACTATCAACCAATAACATTTTTTCAAATAACTTTAGATCTATTTAGTAAAGTGGGTGGGGAAGGGATACTAAAACATCTTCCAAGGGAATGCAAAATCTACAATCTCATTCCTTCTAAAAGGTTTGCTGATTTGTGGGTGTTAGAGCTTTGTCTGTCCGACTTATTTTAATCAAGTATTGTGAGGTAGTACTCGGGGATATTGTGAAACCCATTTTAAGGGTAGGGAAACAAAACAAAAAGAAGGGGAAGGATGATGTGATAAAAACGAAACGTGAAATGAGAAAGAGGAATAAGATATAGTAGAAGATGAGGCGAAAGAGTAATAAGATGGAGGAGAGCGACGAGGAACAAGTATAAGAAGGGTTTTAATAGAAT